TGATTGGGGATTAAGATTTCATTAAATCTTGAGAGGATAGCTTATACTAGATGAAAGTTCTCAATAATCCCAGGGATAGTGCTGGCCTAGACTCATGATATCCCATAAATGTACATGTCTTAAAAATTAATGTAAGATTGGGGTTTAAGATTTAATTAAATCTTGAGAGAGTAGCCTATACTAGACTCATAATACTTAAGAAAGGTCTATCTAGAACTTTATACAACCTAGACCCTATGGCCAAATAGACAATAAGTGTATTCTTCCACTCTTAGGAAAGATGCCAATTATGAAACTGACAACCTTAACCATAAAATTGTTGAGAAGTTGATAAATATTATATATGTCAAGAATTTCACTAGACTCGCCTATGTCTTTACAAAATTAATGTCATTATGTTTATGTGTATGAAGACTTACACAATGGACTAACTCTTATGACTAAGATGCATATGTGGCATGGTGAAATTAAATGTTTAAGTAGTTGTCAATGTTAACTTGAACTCAATTATATGTAGATTCATAAGTTAGCAAATGTTATAGAAATGCATAATTGAATAGGTTAAGAATGTACCCTCCAACAACTAGCTTTACTTGGGGTAAGAGTGGCTTAGTGTGGTTAATGCGTAGTTGTTATTGGTCAACTAATGATCACTTAGGCTACCAAGATATAAAAAACCATGCAAGACGGATGATGAGTGGGAGCGATATGTATGCCTCTTATAGGGCTATGAATATAAGGTTTTAAATGTTGGATGACTGGTTGGAGAAAAATGTTTATTGTAAACTTCGAGTTATCTATGATGGACACTACAAGAAAAGAGTCTTATTTCATACAACCTAAAAACCATTAGAAACTTTCCAAAAGCCATTGGGTTTTCGATTTTGGATTGCTTAATGTTGTCTTTGGGAACGTAGGTAAAACACTTGTCTGTAATTATTTTACCGACAGACTTACCTACGAATTCTATGTGTCGACTGTTTCATGACGATAGAACACCAAAAAATGGACTTTTTAGTCCGGTTATGACCAACAACAAAGCATGGTGGATGATGTGAAGAAAGCTCGGGGCTAACGACAATCTTTGGAATGTTACTATCAATCCGTGATAAATTTTCCACAAGTACTCTTAGAAGTGGTGCTGATTTCTCAATTTTGTTTCTTCTGAAAGTATTTTTGTTTTGCCTGAAGGGATGTCATCATTTAAGAACATATGATGACAATCAAATCATGAATTCTTTGTCATGTAGAAGCATAAATGCATTAGGTGAATCCTTGCAGTATGAACAAGACAATTTTTCCACAGTGTTCTACCTAGTTAACATGTCATACATAGAAAAATCACTTATTATCTATATTAAAGCTGGTTCCATTTGAAAATTATGTTTCATTGAAATATCATATGTCGTGACACCTCTTTCCTAGAAAATATGAAGCTTATCTATCAAGGACTGCAATTATATATCAATCATATCTTTAGGCCTACTAAGACCTGATATAATCAGTGTCAGGAAAAGAATGATGCTGTCATGCACATCTTAGATATTGTATGGTGTAATTGATCACTGTCCAACAAGAGTAGGGCAACACAACCTGACTGTACTATGAGAAGCCATAATAGTGTAAGCCAAGTTGCACATTACGTGCCTCTGCAACGAATTTAGGATGTGCGGTTAAAATATTTTCATGCCTCTCCATCTGCAGAACGACTCGTTGAGCTGATTTTATCTGATTTGCTACGGTGTCACGTCATATACGTAGCAATCCACATCGAAGAAAATAATCTCTAAAAACGTAGAGTAAGTGATATATAGAAGAGCCGTTTGTATGAAACATTCTTTAGCTTCTTACTTTTTCTGCTCTGAGGTTTGAATCTAGGAGAATAACAAAATCTGCACTGAGTCTCTATTTCACTGGACTTGTAAAAGAGCATACATCCATTCACACAACAATCAATTTCATGTGCTTTAAGCCTTAATTTGGAGACGAATTTTTTCGCCCTGTTTAAGTCTTTCGGAATTAAATTTTCCTATGGAATTGTCTCTTTCAATAATCCTGCAAACTGATTGAAGCACTCTTGTGACATGTTAAACTTGGATTTAATTTTTAGCATGAGAGCTACAAATAACTCAAAATAGGATGTGCAACCCTCCCACAGCGGCCTTTGAGCCATTTTTCAGTAAATCATAAAATTCATGAGCTTCGTGGTTTGGTGTTTTTTCCTCTACTCAACTCAAATAATAATATCATATGCCATCGAAGACCATTTCCTCAAATCGAATCAATTGAAATTCAGGTTGAGATTCATAGCTACTCGAAGGAGAAGCACTTCATATTGTAGGGTCAATCTCGCCATGTGAAATCCAAATCAACAACCTAGTTTAAATGACTTCATCTGGCATTAAGTGTTCTATTTTTGTGTTTTGAACATGATAAACGAAGACGTCGGAAGATCAGATGTCTTTGCCACGAAGTTCTCGATTCCGTCCAAGAACTCAGTGATTCATTTTCTATCTGAAGAAAGTTTATTGTACATCCACGTCCTTAATGTACGAATATCCATAGATAACATGAACCATCTAAAAAATTAACACAATCAACACATCATTAAGTGCAATTAACATAGATCAATTAAACATAATCGTGTATGACTTTTAGGTGTTACCTTTTAGTCTAAGGAAGAAAATTTCATTAAATAAATAATGTTTTACATGACTTACAAACAAAATAAGAAAGTTATGGTGCCATGAAGGGTAACAAAAAATCTTTGACATTTGTAATTTTGTAATGTTTCAAGTTAGGGCATTAAAGGATTGATTGAGAGTTTTGTGACATTTGTCTTTCGAGGGCTAGTTCGAGTAGTGCGGAATCGAGAGTTTTATTTCATTTTTTTTTATGTATATATACTCTAGTATCTCGATAAGCTCTCGTGTCGAGTCTGACTTAAGCTCATGTAATATACGAGCTCAAATCTAAGCTTGAGCTCAAACTCATGGCTTGATAAGCTCATCTTGCGAGCACATTAATGACACAACAAATTAAGGAGAAACAATCTCATCTTCAAAGAATATCATCTACCATTTGTGAGCACATTAAAGATACATTAGAATGGAAATTGAACTTAGTCACTCTATTTTCTTACCTTAGCAGCGGGTCCTTATTAAAATGATCTTTTGTCCATGGAGATGTTTATTTTTCTATAACGAAAAATTGTTTGGTGCATACATTCAAAGTTATATGATTTTTTTTTATTTTCGAAAATTTACATACATACCGCCCAATTCTTTGTGTATTTATATATCTAACACAAACTTTAATTTTTACAAACATAACACCTTGCCTATGCATGAAAATGTGTGCTTCACTTTTAAGAAGTTAACATATTGTTATTTACAGATCTAGCATACATACATTTTTTAGCAACAAAATTTATCATAAAAGCTTGTGAAACATTGCTATTTAAAAGTCTAGCGCCCGCTTTCATTCATTTTTCAAATTCTTACACATTAAAAAGTCATGATAAACCTCGAACCAATATTTTTTATTTTTATCAAATTCTTATTGGTTTGATCATGACATATAAAAACATTGCTTCTACCGTTCAAAAATATCATGTGTGCTGGATTTTGTAAATAGCAAAATTAAAAGTTCAAAATTTTCCTAAATCACACAAACTGAAAATGTGGAAAAAGTAACGGTTCAATTTACATAAAAACTTCGAGGAATGATTGAATCTAGAATATCTTCAATTAGAGTGTAAGAAATCACCATTTGGTGCATCTTAGCAAATTGAAACAACAATAATAAATATATTCTAAGATGTAGGACTAGGGCTGTCAAAACATCTCGTGTTCGGCTCGTTAAGAAGGTCATGTTCGGCTCGTTAGTTAAGTTAACGAGCCGAACATGTTAAAAAAAAATTTAATTATCTATATAATATTGATGAGTAGTATTAAAAAAAATTAATTGACTACAATCCTACAAAGATTTGTAATCAATTAAAATTATTAATTAAAAAAATAGAATAAAAATAATTAAATTAGATTCAAATGATGTTTTATATAAAGAATATTTTTTAAATCTTGTCCTAACCCTTAACATCTTAATGGCTACATGATTAGGGTTATGAAAACAACTTTTTGTTTGTGAACAGCTCGTGTTCGACTCATTAAGCAAACGAGCCGAATAAGAACATATTTTTTTAGCTCGAAATATAAACAAGCGACCAAAGGTACTAAAGAATTGCACAATCTTTGTGATTGTTTTTTACGTTTATACCATTCAAAATTTCATTTCACTAAAGATATACCATCTTTTTAGTTTTAATAATGTGAAATACGGTTTTCATGTATAGGTAAGGGGGTATGCATGTAAAATTAAAGGTGTTAGATATGTAAATAATAAAATACATAAGCAGCGAGTGAAATGCTGCTTTTCTTATATATTTTTTTGAATAAATTTGAGCGAATTTAATTATTTTTTAATTTAAAAATCTAAAAAAATTTTAGTTTTAGTTTTAAATTTATTTTAATTTTATTTAAATTTTATTTTATATTTTGATTATTATATCTGTTAAATTTTAAATTAATATTAAGCTTTAATCTACCATCTTAACGTCTCTGTTCATGAATTAAGTCATGAATTAAGAAGAAAATTGTTTGATTTTTAGTTTATTTATTTAATATTTTTTAATCGATGATATAAACAATTATCTAATCTTAAATTAATTCACCTCTTACAACTTAAACCCATACCCATTAGCTTGAGGCCCGCAACAATGAAATATTTTGAAAATTATATATAATTAATTTATATTTATATACACTTTTTCTTAAATTAATATATCTATATATATATATATA